AACATTGCATCACCTTCCTTTTTTGGTTATTATTCATTTATTTGTTTTTTTTTCTGTGTAATAAAGAATGCAGGGTCTGAAGGTGAGTTTTTTTTTTGGCTACCAATCCTGAATTATCAGGTTCACCTCCAAGGAGGGCTCCACCAGCTGTTCCTTTTGTGGCCCCATCACCCATTATGTCAGACATAACATCACTCCCCTTTGAGGCAACAGAAGAGGATGAACCAGTTATATCCAACTCAAAATCTTTTAACTCGGGTCCAGCTCAGAATTTAACTGTTGATGACATTGATGATTTTGAGGATAATGATGATTTGGAGGAACTGAATAGTCGTAGGTATTCAAGGAGAACAATGAATGATACTGTTGATCTTGTTGTGGGTTTGCCTTCATTTGCAACAGGTAAACACAAATGATGGAAAGTTTTATGAAAATATTTTATCATCTTCTGAAATTGGTGTGTTAAGTTATGTGTTTGGTCATTTCTCAGGTATAACTGATGACGATCTTCGTGAATCTGCCTATGAAATCCTTCTGGCTGCTGCAGGAGCTTCGGGGTATCTTTTCTTTCTTTTCTATCTTTGGCTCTGTGCATGAACTTTATTTTGTACACACACATAGTTTTAGCATTTCTTTTGAATTCCTATTTTGCTGTGATTGATTCTGTCTGGACTACAAATCTGCCAAACTACCTTTTGACTATTATGTAATGATTGTTTAAGTAGGGGACTTATAGTGCCATCAAAGGAGAAGAAAAAAGAAAAGAAATCCAAATTGTTGAAGAAGCTTGGAAGGAGTAAGAGTGAACAAGTTACAAATCAATCCCAACAATCGACTGGTTTGACTAGCCTACTGGAGACAATGTGTGTCCAGATGGAGGTACAAACTATATTTCTGTTTTATATATACATTGTTTTATATAGTAGTCTATTTTGCTTGTATGATATATGGTTTGTTTGCATGTTGGACATGATTGATGGGGACTGTTAGAAACCATACTGAGTTTAGGTTTGCTCTTACCAGATAGGAGTTCTATTACAAATATTACTATTAGTTATATAAAGTATATGCTACTTCCTTATGTCATGTTATTAACTAGTAGACTCTGGACCCCACAAAGTTGTGCTTGATAATAATAATGATTGTTGTAAACTCAGATTTCTGAGGCGATGGACATTAGAACAAGACAAGGGCTACTCAATGCAATGGCTGGAAAAGTGGGGAAAAGAATGGATGCTCTTTTGATTCCTCTCGAGTTATTATCCTCTGTTTCTCGAACCGAATTTTCTGAAAAAAAAAGCTTACATAAGATGGCAAAAGAGACAAGTTAGTACCTTCTCTCTCCGTTTTGTTTCGTAGCCTTATCATATTATTCATGGGCATGTGTAAGTAAATTTCCAACTTTAACTAATATTGATGTAAGATGTTTGATCCAATGTTGTGTTAGTTCAGTTGAATATGTTGGAGGAAGGACTTGTGAATCACCCAATTGTGGGATTTGGAGAATCTGGTCGCAAAGCAAGTGGAATGAGGATTCTGTTGGCAAGAATTGAAGAATCTGAGGTTAAAATGAGATCTTTTTAGTTTTTACATATGTTATGCTCTATTGCTCTTACTTTATCATTTTTTAAATTTGTCTTATTTCAGTCATTTGCACCTTCTGTAGGTGAACTTCAACGCATAGAATGTTTGAGATCTTTGAGGGAGATTGCCATTGCACTTGCAGAGAGGCCAGCTCGTGGTGATTTAACTGGTGAAGTATGTCATTGGGCAGATGGGTATCATTTGAATGTCAGATTATATGAGAAACTTCTTTCCAGCATTTTTGATGTTCTAGATGAGGGGAAACTAACTGAGGTATGTAAATTTTATATCCAATGTTAAGCATGATTTTGTTATAAATTGATTAAATTCCCTCCCTCCACCTGTACCCTTACAAACCATGGTAGAATGATTAACATTAAACTTCTAATGTTGTATTTACTAGTGGAGTTAAATGCAAGAAGTGGCAACACCATTGGGTAGCTTTAACAAGCCTTAAGAAAGAAATGGAAGTAGCATATATGATGATGATGCATAACAAACAGCTATATTTTATGAATGTATGCAGGAAGTGGAAGAAATACTTGAACTTCTAAAGTCAACGTGGCGTATCTTGGGAATAACAGAGACTATTCACCACACCTGTTATGCATGGGTGTTATTCCGCCAGGTAATAACAAATCATAAATTAGTTTATTATAGTAATTTCAAGAGCTATAAATTTAAGTTTGTTTTTTCTTTTTGCAGTTTGTGAAAGCAAAATTGCTAGCTGGTAATAATGTACTTTATTTAATTAAAGTACTCTTGCTTATTATTTGTCTATTTTAAATTCTTCTGTTGGTTGGTTATTCCTAGCAACTGGTTATGTTTAATAATCTTTAAAATTTTAATCCGACTCACTCAGAAACATTTGATTTCATTCCATTGTTTCAAGACATATATAGAGTTATCGAAGGAGATAAATGAATGAATCTTTCAAGAAATTATCTCAGGTTCCATCTTTTTCTACAAATCACCCAATATTTCTACATATGATGATAATACTCCTATATAAATATAACATATTTATCTTTTTTTTCTTCTTATAGAGAACAACTTGGTTGGGAATATTTTACATGTGCATACCTACAGGAATTGCCCTTGGTTATGTTTATGGTGGATGGGTAAATTTGGCAAGAGAACAGGTTGGTTTATGAAATCCTTCATTTATTTTCATGATATTATCCAAACAATTTAATTTCCAATTCCAAAAATTTATTTATTGCTAACTTATTTACAAATTTTTCTTCCTCATTCTCAAGGAATTGGGCCCACACAAGGTTGGAGCACTTATATAGGAAGCTTAATTCATGTAAATTTTAAGTTTTGTTTTATGCTTTTCAAGGTTCTGTTCGTTACATTTTTATTTTTGATTTAAATATTGTGTCTGATATAGTGTTTGTTTGGTTTTGGGTTTTCGTTAGCAAGTTTGAGCTCGGTAAGTTCGAGCAACATCTATGGTGGCCCGAGCAGCATCTATTTCAATATTGATTGTGTGAAAGTCATCTACTAAAGCAAGCTTGGTGTAAGAGTTGATGATGCGAACATTTTTCCAAGACCTTCAGTGAGTTATGATGATGTCCCTTAATAACAACGTAGTATTAGGTTATGTAGTTAGCCATGATTATTTGTATTTGCATTTTAGTGCAATGAATTATCTTTCTTATTTATTGTATTTTATTATTTATTTTGTATGACATTAACTTTTATGCAATGGATTGTATTTTTTGTATATAGTATTTTATTTTCTATTATGAGACATGAAATGCAATTTGAAAATTAGTAAACCTATAAATAATTTTTTTTTAAAATAAAAATAAAAATTACGATACGCAAAAATGTGTGTCATCTTCATTTATGACATGGCCTTTCTTGACAGTGGCTTTAATGATACGCATTGCGTGTCATAAATGCGCGTCGTAAATGCGCGTCGTCTCTCGTTATGATAGGGCCTTCCTTGACGCGCATTTGCGCGTCATCTGAGCGTTTTACAACGCGCAATGAGCGTTGTAAAAGGCCTTTTTTCTAGTAGTGTCAACCCAAACACGACTCATTTAAACTAGGTGGGGACCCCTGCGTTGCGGGGATCGGATGCGACTGTTTTTTTGTTGTTTGTTCTTTGTAAATGTCATTTGATCAAGTATTGATAAACACAGAATTCCTAAATACCCTGTAATGAAGAACACATAAATCAATTTTTCTAACCAAAATACTAAAAAAAATACATTTCAAAATAATCACAATTTAAGCCGCAACTTTCTATCTGACCATAGGAGCCTATTATTATGAAAAAATTGCCTAAAATATCCCTAAAATATCCCTTAAATTGTGATTATTTTGAAATCTATTTTTTTTAGTTAACTGCCCAAGTTACATGGTTGGAACTCAATAGGGGCTTATGAGGGCCATGGTTGGAACTCAATATGCCACCTTTCTTGTGGATCATCCTTAAAACCACTTGTTGAATCAACCGAGGATCTCCCCATCAGCAGATCATCTGCCAAAAACAAATAAATAAATAAACTTGTGCACGAACGGGAACAGGGAATGTGAAAGCATGGAGGAAGCCATTGATGTTCCGTGTAAAAATAATCAAAAACTATTTATTATCTAATAATCATTACCCAGTTGAGAGCATGAACACCAAAATTAAAAAGCAATGCAGTTTTGAAGAACATGCATGTAATTCTTCACTTATCCTTAAAAGAAGCACACATGAAAAAAAAGCCTCATAGAATATTATTTATTACAAGTAAGAACAGAAAATACTTAATTTAGCATAGCATAATCAGTCACCTGTACACGGTATAAATTCCACAAAGAATGTTTTCGAAAAAGATTTGCATGGATTTTTATCTCTGACAGTTCTGACCCGGTTCCGGTTTAGCAAATTTTGGCTCTTCATATCTTTGAAACCACGTGTTGTATTGTTTATGGTACCTCCATGATTGTTTCTTTAATTCTTTTGCAGCCAGATAGTGTTGATAAGCATTGTGCATGAAATCACACAAATTTCAAAAAATTTAAAATAAAAATTACAAATGATATAAAAATAAAAATACCTATTGATAATAAGTGAAAAAAAATAAAGTATCGGTCCCAATGTTGTCGGATCCAATACGTTCCGAAAAGGCCGAGTTGTTCACAATTGGAGCTTGCACTTGCGGATAGCTTTACGGGGTCACCGCAGGGTGCCTCTGTAAAAGAGTTAAATAAAAAATAAAAAATGAAAGTATGATGTAATAATATTTACTGCAATGTAGCTTTTGGGACGTTCTGAGTCTCAGGGTTGGGGGAGTTTGTAGAAGGCGGACTCAAGCATTTGGAGGTTGTATTGTTGGTCGTGGGTCCCACCTAGGGACACGGCTAACCCACTAACGTTGTCTCCAATTGCACCCAAGTTAGGATTCTTCTACCAATCACACCCAGGCTAACCGACTGGTTTGATTGTAATGGCTGACCAGGTGACAGGTCAACATCGCGTGTGCTTTGTGCTGCTTCTGTCATAGTCCCAGATCCTTAAAAAAATTATATTCTAAAATATAAACCCTAGAAGAAAAATGAATTGAAAATAAATTATACCTGCTGCATGTCTAATGCATATGAGACGATTGAATCTTCTTCATTGGAAGTGTTCTTGTTAAGGACAGGAGATTGTGCAGGATCAGGTATTGAGTCATCAGATGTAACACTTTGTTGGTGTATTTGTTGTTGCTGTTGTTCAATGTCATCAACTTTTGAATTGTTATTTGCTGCTTCAAATTGTAATTTGTTTTTAAATTTCATTTATCTTTGACAATAATGTTAAAAAAAAGTCAAAGAGTTTACCGCTATCTTTAGAACCAGTTAACATTTGTTGACTTGACTGTAAATGGATTAGATTTTGTTGTTGTGCTGACGTGGCAGTGTTAGGACTTGCTGGCGGTGCCCCACCCCATCCACTTGAGCTTTGGGAATTAAACTGTGAACATATTAACATAACAATAACATCATTTATTTAAAATAAAAATAATTTGAAGAATTACAAAATATGAAATATGAAGGAGAAACCTGTTGTAGAAGAGAGTTTTGCTGTGTTGAAAATTGCTTATAAGTTCCTCAAGAAATAGGCGGCATTCCAAGAAGGGTGCCGCTTCGTTGTTGTTGTACTTATTGGAATTTCTGCAAAAGTTTCTCCCTTTGATCTGTCAGTTCTACAACGGAGTCGTCCTTGTTAAAATTAAAATTTAAAAAAAATTAAATACATTAATAGTATTTTAGTTAATGTAGATACAGTACAATGTACAAGTGTATTCATGCTGAGTTTGGAAGGAACTTCCAGGTCTCCACTGAATGTCAGGAACACCAGAAGGTGAAAAGACTCTTGCAGACCAAGTAGGTGATAGAACATGGTCCGAATTCTCATATTGTAAGGAACCAATAACTGAAACGATACGGCCCGGTTCCACATTGCAACCTACACAATGAAAATAAATCTGAGCACATTATAAACATAATATCATAAGTAAAAGGAAATCTTAAAGAGGGGTAGAAATGTCTGTTTCAAAGTACTTATTTAACAAAACATGAATTAATTACTGAACTCTTAGAACTCATAACCAAGTAATAGAGTGGAAGTAGGTGTAAGCCTGGCATTTTCTTGAATTTGCACAAAAATAGACAAATAATAAATGAATTGATAAAATGATACGGTAAAACCCCAAAATCATATAAAATGTATTGTTACAAAAATTAATACCTTTTGAAGAAGGTTCATACAGAGCTTCTAAATTTCGTGACTTCAACTGCAAACATTTTCCATAAGCTATCATGATTTCAATCACTACTAACATAACCAAAACGACATTAACTATAACTGAAGGAAAAAAATTGTTGAGAAAAAAATATTTAGAACACTAATTAATCTATCCAGTAAAATAATATAAAATACAGGTAAAGCGATGATAACAACATAGAAAAAGAGACCTAGGAATTTCATCGAATACCTGGTGGGCAGCAACCAAAACTTCATCCATAACAGTAAACATCTCTTTATTATCTCGAAATCTTGTTGGATTTTCTAGCTGGTAACGAAATCGAATACAAAAATAAAGACCCTGAATTGAATATATAGAGCAACTATAAAAAGATACAAGATTTGTAAAAGACTTGAATAAAAAAGTACAAAAAAATTGATTAATTACCTTTGGCATCATCAACGACTGCAGTAAGCCTAATCAAGTTAGAGAACCAAAAATCCATGGATGAAGAAGCAGAAGCCCTAAAATTAAGAGCAATTAAATGGTTTGGTGATACTTTTTTTGTTGGTTCGGTGGTTCCACTGTGTGTGTGTGTTTTTTCCATGATCGACATAGGCCAGAAAAGAGAATTTTGTGTGCAAATTCATAGCAAAAACTAAAACTTACCTGATGGAGAAAGGGTGTGTCGTCGCCGGAGCCATTGGGGAGTGGTAGCTAGAAGAAGAAGCGAGAAGCGTATAGTTAATCAGCCACCGGAACTGCAAAGCACCACAACTGAAGTGAGAGGAGGCGGTGGAGGTCAGAATGGAAGCAGGAAAACACACATGTGCCACCAAATCCATGGCAAAAACTAAAACTTACCTGATGGAGAAAGGGTGTGTCGTCTCCGGAGCCATTGGTGAAACGACCCAAAAACACGACCCAAAAATTTTCGTTTTTCCATATAATCAAAGCCATAATATAAGTATCATAACATAAACACATGCGATGTATTCCCAAAACATAATAAAATATTGTGCGGAAAACTGTATCATACTACATCAACTCAAAATGTCAAGAGACTTCCCGGGATAAAAGTCATGCTGCGGTGTGTGCGATGCTGTCACCCCGAGCTCTTCCCTTTGCTTGCGGAAGTACCTGAAACCAAAACTGAAACTATAAACACGAAGCTTAGTGAGCTCCCCCAAACTACCACATACCATAGAATAACATATAAACACATATTGGGCCTTGCCCACTACATCGGGCCGAAGCCCGGAAACTGCATCGGACCGAAGTACGGAACTGACTGGGACCTTGTCCCCTGCATCGGACCGAAGTCCGGAACTGACTGCATCGGACCGAAGTCCGGAACTGACTGGGACCTTGTCCCCTGCATCGGACCGAAGTCCGGAACTACTGCATCGGACCGAAGTCCGGAACTGACTGCATCGGACCGAAGTCCGGAACTGACTGGGACCTTGTCCCCTGCATCGGACCGAAGTCCGGAACTACTGCATCGGACCGAAGTCCGGAACTGACTGGGACCTTGTCCCCTGCATCGGACCGAAGTCCGGAACTAACTGCATCGGACCGAAGTCCGGAACTGACTGGGACCTTGTCCCCTGCATCGGACCGAAGTCCGAAACTAACTGCATCGGACCGAAGTCCGGAACTGTCTAACTGAACATGGCATGGCATAACACATCAACTAGCATAACACATATACGACATGCTACATCGGGTCGTGGCCCGGAACACATAATACTTAACACATAAAACATAGCACACAAATCCTGTTCGAACCACGAAGGCATCGAACATACTAACTACTGCATCGGACCTAAATCCGGAAACTACTGCTAACTGAACGGGCCGGCATTGTGGCCTTAGACCCGTTCCTACTGGAAGGAAACTCACCTCGTAAGCTGGCTGCTGAGTGTGTGGCTCGGAAAGCTAACGGCGGCTGCTCCTGAATCTCCTCGGCTACAAGTCCATAAACACACTCAATCAAATACTAAACACTGCACTTGGGGTAAAATGACTCTTTTACCCTTGGTCAAAGTCAACTCACTCTGGGCTGACTCGCCGAGTCGGGCTACCCAACTCGCCGAGTCCTAGTCTCATCTCTCAGCTCTTCACGCTGCTACTCGTCGAGTGGGGCATCGACTCGACGAGTACCCTCTGGATCCAAGAACTCAGACAATCTTCATCCGACTCGCCGAGTCGTATGAACAGACTCGACGAGTTGTTCTTGATCCCCAAGAAGATTGCCTTGGACTCGCCGAGTTGTATGAACAACTCGCCGAGTCCCTCCATCACTGAGTCTACTCTCAACTCGCTGAGTCCACTCCCTAACTCACCTCGTCCACTCGACACTGATAAAACTGAAGAACTCGGGACTCGCGACCCAACTCGTCGAGTCGTTCTTCCGACTCGGCGAGTCGCCGCCATGCAACAGATTTTTACTTGATTTTGTTTGAATCCAATGCATACAATTGATAGATCTGAGTCCAATAAGCTGTTTTACCACGTAAAGTTTCCAACTTTACGTGCACAACCTCATGAATAAGGGAAACAAGGCTAAAAGATGCATAAAATGGGTAGATCTATGGCTAACATGCAATATAACCCCAAAAAGACAGTAGATCTGGGCTCTACAACACCCCAACATTCAGATCCATAGATATATCGACTTAATAAGACGTTCATGCAAGTGTAAGGCTTGAAACAAGCACCAACTAGCTCTTAGGAGAGCCCTAATGGAAGTTTAAAGCATAAAATAAGATGGAACTCCGAAAATACCTCAATAAACTCTGATTTGGCCTTGGATCTTTGCACTCCAACCCTTCTCCTTGCTTCTTCCTTCTTCTCCTTCTTCACACCTTCACAAAGAGGGCACCAAACACAAATAAGCTCTTCAATGGAGGTTTGGGGCTCTAACACTGTGTTCTCAGGGTGAGGGAGGCGAGAATGGGGGCTATAAGGTGGTATAAATAGTGGGCAACCCGGGGATTTAGGGTTTCACCCAGACGGATGGACTCGCCGAGTCCATATTATGGACTCGTCGAGTCGCCGGCTCACGCGTGCCCTCAGACGCGACCCGACTCGGCGAGTCAGGCTAGAACTCGCCGAGTCCCTCTAGGAAAACTCACTATAATTACCAATAAATCAACATACCGGGAACGGGTCGTTACAATTCTCCCCCACTTGTCTCAGACTTCGTCCTCGAAGTCTGCTACGCTGGATCTGCAAATAACTCCGGGTAGTGCGCTCTCATCTCCTCCTCAGCCTCCCACGTCCATTCAGACCCCTTCCGGTGCTGCCACTGCACCTTTACTAGCTGAATTACCTTGTTCCTCAAGGTCTTGGTCTTCCGTTCCAGAATCGCGACCGGCTTCTCGATATAATTTAGGCCGCTATCAACCTGAATGTCCTCTAAGGGAACGACTGCCGTCTCATCCACCAAACACTTCCTCAACTGCGACACGTGGAAGGTGTTGTGTATCAAACTAAGCTCCTCAGGAAGATCTAACCGGTAAGCAACCCGACCCACCCGGGCCAAAACCCTGAAAGGACCAATAAATCTGGGGCCCAATTTGCCCCTCTTCCGGAACCTGATGACACCTTTCCAAGGTGAGACTTTCAGAAGAACCATATCTCCCACCTGGAACTCCAAGTCGAACGCCTCCTGTCGGCGTAGCTCTTCTGCCGACTCTGCGCAGTCTGCAGCCTACTACGGACCTGCTGGATCAACTCCGTCGTCTTGAGCACCACTTCGGTGCTCCCTATGACTCGCTGACCGACCTCTCCCCAACAAATCGGGGTCCTGCACTTCCTGCCATATAACATCTCAAAAGGAGGTCGATCAATGCTCGCATGATAACTGTTGTTATACGAGAATTCCGCTAACGGAAGATACGTATCCCAACTGCCCCCAAAGTCTAGAACACATGCCCTAAGCATGTCCTCGAGAGTCTGAATCGTCCTCTCGCTCTGCCCGTCAGTCTGAGGATGGAAAGCGGTGCTGAAATGGAGACGAGTACCCATCTCGTCGTGGAATCGCTTCCAGAATCTGGACGTGAAACGAACATCTCGGTCCGACACCACCGATACCGGCACTCCATGACGTGCCACAATCTCTCGCACATAGATATCGGCTAACTTTTCCGCCGATATACTCTCCTGAATCGGAATAAAATGGGCACTCTTCGTCAACCGATCCACTACTACCCATATCGAGTCCACCCCGCGTGCGGTCCTAGGGAGTTTGGTGACAAAATCCATGGTGATATCCTCCCATTTCCACACGGGAATGTCTAACGGCTGCATCTTGCCGTGAGGTCTCTGGTGCTCCGCCTTGACCTTCCGACAGGTCAAACATCTCTCCACATACCAAGCGACATCTCGCTTCATGCAGGGCCACCAATAATCCGATCGAAGATCTCGATACATCTTCGTCGCCCCTGGGTGGATAGAAAACCGAGACTTATGAGCCTCGTCCATCAATACTTGCCGTACCCCACCCCAGTACGGTACCCATATCCTACCATGAAGTGTCAACAAACCACGACTGTCGTAATCAAATGAAGCTACTCGGCCCACTATCCTCTCACACTTCTGCCTCTCCTCCTTGAGACCCTCCATCTGAGCCTCCTTGATCCGCTCCAACAAGGGAGTGATCACTGTCATCCTCATACACAGATCTCTGATAGGGGCCGTCGACACCTTGCGGCTCAGGGCGTCGGCCACCACATTGGCCTTCCCTGGATGATAAAGGATCTCACAGTCATAGTCCTTCAGCACGTCTAACCATCTCCTCTGTCTCATGTTCAAACTCGGCTGATCCATAAGATATCGCAAACTCTTGTGATCCGTGTAAATAGTACAGCGGACCCCATAAAGGTAATGTCTCCAAATCTTGAGGGCGAACACAACTGCCCCCAGTTCCAAATCGTGGGTAGGATAATTAGCCTCGTGAGGCTTCAACTGTCTCGAGGCATAAGCTACCACATGGCCTCGCTGCATCAATACTGCTCCCATACCTGTGATCGAAGCATCACAATAGACTACGAAATCCTCTACACCCTCTGGCAAGGTAAGGATCGGAGCCTCGCACAATCTCTGCCTGAGAGTCTCGAACGCCGCCTGCTGCTCAGGCCCCCAACGAAAAACCACCGACTTCTTGGTTAGTCGGGTGAGCGGCACCGCTATCTTGGAGAAGTCCTGGATAAATCTCCGATAATACCCTGCCAATCCTAGGAAGCTCCGAATCTCAGATGGAGACCTCGGGACCTCCCACTGCATCACGGCCTCAATCTTGGCCGGATCAACCAAAATACCCTTCTGGTTAACGAGATGCCCAAGAAACTGCACCTCGCGCAACCAGAACTCGCACTTGGAGAACTTAGCGAAAAGTCTCTCCCTCCTCAAAGTCTCCAACACCTCCCGCAGGTGCTCCTCGTGCTGCCCCTGAGTCTTGGAATATACCAAGATGTCATCTATGAACACGATCACCGACCGATCCAGCATCGGTCTGCACACGCGGTTCATGAGATCCATGAACGCGGCTGGGGCATTGGTGAGCCCAAATGGCATCACCACGAACTCATAATGACCATACCGGGTCCTGAAAGCAGTCTTCTGTACATCCTCATCCCTGACCCTCATCTGGTGGTAACCGGAGCGTAGGTCGATCTTGGAGAACCAAGACGCTCCCTGAAGCTGATCAAACAAGTCATCTATCCTCGGAAGTGGGTAACGGTTCTTCACCGTTACTTTGTTCAACTCCCGATAATCAATGCACATACGATGCGACCCATCCTTCTTCCTCACAAATAAGATCGGCGCTCCCCAAGGCGAA